GGGGGGGGCCTTCTTGGTTAACTACAAGTGAAGTCTAGACTATGTGAGCCCACCACCGTGTTAGTTGACATACGTCTATACTGCGAGAGAGGAAAGAGAGGGTTATAGTTACGGTCCGCGGGTTCCCGCACATTGTGACACACCCTTTTTCTGATCATATGCAGGCATTCAAGCTGTATATGACATCCCATCATATCCCAAAGCATCATGATAGGTCAAACATCTACAAATCATCTACAGCAGGAGTGGGCAAAGTATGTCGTAAGGCAACCTTGCCCACCCCTGAACAACAGACACGTGTAGCCCCTTCGGAACGTCATCTTGACCAAAAACAAGCAGGGTGGCATAGACGAAACGAAGACAAAGCCGAGTGTGGCTTGGGGACCCTCGAATTGAATCGGCGGGTGGATGCTCGAGTGGAGGGAAGGGGATGCGAGGCAGGCGAGCTTTGATCTCCCTGACATTCATTTTGTGTTGGTTTGGGGGTCTTTTGATCAGTAAGGCGGAAATATTAATTGTGACTGCAAAGGTTTTACGATGGAGACAGTTTGGACTCCGGAACAAATGATTCCAAATATAATTAGATTGTATAGAGGTTCCGCTATAAAAACGGCAAATGATATTCAATTGGATTACATATAGAGGCCCTCTCAAACACTTTGCTGCCCGCACCGCTTTCTCCACTCGAGTAGCACACAACGCATCTGATCCACCGGATAGAAAAGAGAAGAGCCATGAAGTTGAAAAGCTGCAGTATTCCCGTTCGATAGACAAGAGAGCCAACCTGCGCGTACCAACGTCTTTATGTGGCTGCCGCGGCGGATGGAGGAAAGGGTATAATGCAGCTTTTGGATGCAACAAAAGCCCACATGAAAAGATAGTAACCATCAGAAGACCTCAGCGGGAGAGGTCATAAAGCGAGAGGAACCCACGAGGGTGGACGCCAACCACCCGCAGAGATAAAAAAGAAAATGAGAGGACACAAAATAAAAACCACCAGCGCGGCGAGCGGACTCAACAGACAAACATCTAAAGTTGAAATAACAGAAATAACCACAGACACGGAAAAAAAACCCCAACTTGATGTCGGAGGAGAACAAAAAGCAGTAATGGAGAAATAACAGAAATAACCACAGACACGGAAAAAAAAAAAAAACAACTGGATGTCGGAGGAGACCAAAAAGCAATAATGGCGCCCCACCAAAAGCACCGCAGAGCTGAGAGATGGAGTGTGTCTTTTGTTGTTGGTTTTTTTTTTGTTTGTTTGGGAAGTGCAGGTGTACATACCTCCTGAGGTAGGAAAGATAACAGCCAAAATCATGGGAACAAACAAACAAACGAAGAGGAAACAGGGAAACAAAAAATAAATCATCAAATGAAATAAATGAGAAGGAATTATTGTACTTCATGCACTGCTTTGCGGTGTCGCACTTCTTTCAGCCACTTGGTGGAGCTGTGCACACTGAAAAGCCCGAACACAAAACAATGCCTTGGCTTGGCTCCATATTGTCACTCATTTTATCCTCCACCTTGATTTTGCTTCTTTTTGATTAGCGGGGAAAACTTGACGCCGGCCAATTGTCGAGATTCACAGTGATTGACACCATGGACTTTTGACTAATCAGAGCGAATCAGTACAAGGAGGGAGGAAACAGGAGGGGAGTGTTGAGAAATCCACCACTGTGAGTTTCAGCCACCATCAGTTGACCTGTGGAACATCCGGAAACACAACAAGGCAGCCGACGAGGGTCTGCCATGCGTACATCACGCATAAAAGACCGAAGGAGACGTTTGAATTTGGTTCACAATTTAAAACGGCTCCCAGGTGTCTTTGGAACATCCGGAAACACAACAAGGCAGCCGACGAGTGTCTGCCATGCGTACATCACGAAATAAAAGACCGAAGGAGACGTATGAATTTGGTTCACAATTTAAAAAGGCTCCCAGGTGTCTAAATAACATGTCTGCGGGCATGCTTTTTTTCATCAAAGGATCAAGAATGGTAGAACTTTAGCAATGCCTTATGATGGATTTCATTCGTTCCGTGATCGTGCTAAAAATCAAAACAGTTGCACAACTCAAATAATTTTTCTTCATTGCAATAAATGGAAAGGCCATTAATCCGTTCTATGCGTAAACGTAAATGTAAATTGTTTTCTTTCAATGGACATTTTGCTGCTTTTTCTGGTGTGCGAACCCTGACCATCTGGGGGCAGTACAATACAGACAAGCATAAGGTACCTGGTCACCATTTTTAATGGTAGGGGGCGGGGGAAAGTGTACTATGTCTCCCTCCACTAACAGTATGTTGACATTTATGCACATAGACTTCCTTTCCTGTGTGTATGTCAATGTATGCATCTTCAAAGATTTATAAGCCTCCACATATGGCGGTCTGATCTCAAGGCCGCATTCATAATTCATGAAAACACGGCGTCTTCAGCGTCGGCGTCAAATGTGTGTACACAAAGACACGCACACCCATAAGTTGTTGACCTCATTTTTTTTTTTTAACCGACTGATGTGTGCGCCACTACTTGTCTGACAACATACCATACTGGATGGCAATGATATTTTCAAAATTAATTTTTGGTGATGAAAGATATCAATTAATCGCCCCCTCACCCAGTTTTAGGAGCCAGCCTTCTCTGTCCGGGTTGAAGAAGGTGTGCGTGAGGTCGTTGCCGTCATCCTCTGGAATTTTAAACGGCTCATTCTTGATGCTCTCGTAAAGATTCTGCATTGGAGAAAGATGCGGTTAACGCACAGCGACTTGGAATCGGAACGAGAGGGGCCTTGGTCCCAAAGCTTGCCCTGAGCAGGTCTTCGGGGAGGTCTCCCCCCTCGTTGATCCCCCGGTTCATGGA